AATGAGCTGTTTGAAAGAAAATGGTAACCATAAAAGATGGTTGGTGATACATGAATAACCAAGGTTGAAAAGCACAGGATTGAGGAACAAAAGACAGCAAGAATAATGGAAGGCTGTGTACCCAAAGCTATGGACGAACTGAATTCACACTGACCATGGGAATAGAAAGAAAAGTCTGGGAGTAGTAGCTCACACCCATAATCCCAACGCTTTGGGAGGCTGAGGGAGGAGGATTGCTTGAGCCAGGAGACTAGCTTCAGCAACGAAGTGGAACCCCATCTCTCCAAAATAACAATAATAGAAAAGAATGACTGTGAGAGCTTCAGCAATACCTGTAGGTGAGAAGGAACCCAAGGGGAAAGACAGTGCCAGCAGAAAACTACAACACATTGAATCCTTGAGACACTTTTACAATCCCTTAAGTAGAAATGTATCCTTTAAAGGAGGAGAGTGTGTGCATTCTAAAATGAGAAAGAACTAGATAGAAGAGATCATTTGTTTAACACTATGATGAGGCTTTGCAATAATGAACTCTTTTGTTAGTGGGAACTGATAATATCTAAAGAAATAAGTTGCATATAGGACCGTACATTTTCCAGTTGGTTGCCTCAAAGGTCACAAGAAATATTTCTGGGATGGAAGAAAACCATGTTAACTATATCCCAATGACTTCTCAAAATCCAGATGTGAAAAAAAATGGGATCTTATCCACTGCTCAGAACTAGTGACACTAACTAGAAAGAAGAGAAAATACTCAAATGCTAAACAAGAGGATCGCAATTTAAAATAGGAGGGCTGATGGAGCCTCCACAGTTGTACACCTTAACAGTACCAGAAAGGAGCAAAAGCTGTAGTAAACACAGCAGTCATACAGAGTCTGTTTAAGAAGTAAGCAAACAGGCAGACAAAAACATGACGGAACCTCAGCCCGTTCCACCAGGTGTTACACACTCATCTAAGCAACAGCTTCGGGTCATGTGACTGATTTGTCAGTGCTTCACCACGGGTTCTAGTTTGCAGATTCCTGAAGCCGAACAGAGGCCAAACTTCCCTCGGGAGGGGACATAGAGCCTGCTCTGGCTACTTAACATTCCCCGGAGATTCCAGGGAAGACATTCCTGAAGACTGCAGTCTATTCAGTGTCAACCTCTAAATCCTCCTGACCAAATCCTTTCTGAGAATAGCTCCCTGCACTCCTCTTGAGCAATACTTGTTTGTTTACTTGCTCTCAAGAGCAAATAGATGACACTACGATAGATAGGGCACTAGGCCTATAGTGGTGCAAACAACAAAGCCAGTGGCCTCTCTCATCCAATCAGAAAGAGGAGGGGAGGGAGAGGCCGAGCAGGCCTGCGGCCCCAAGTAAATTCTCCACATGACTTGCCATCCATATTGAGTGTGGCAAAAATAACCCCAATGCCTCCGTAGGGCAGGTTAATGTTTTGTGCTTCATTTCACAGGTTCTTATACACAGCTAGACAGCATGATTTACAGCCACTTACATCACTCATGCTGGGCCATCGCATTCCATTTTTAGCAGTTACATCATTTCCCCCACGATTATGGTCATTTCAATATATGAATAAAGGAACAGGGTGCCACTGCTGGGCTTTCTAGAATGAATTATTAGATAGTTTAAAGGCGCCATGAAACTCATAGAGAAAACATTGAGTAAATTAAAATGAAAACATGTTCTTGCTTTTCTACTTTACGTGGATTATTTCAGGGAACATTAATGTTTATGTTACATTAACTAGCTTAAAATAATTTATGAGTAATAATTTAACACTCTGAATATTGTTCACTACATTAAATTTCTACTAAACTGCAGTCTTTTGGGCCACATAAAATGTTTCATACTCAAGCACACTCATGCTTCCAAAAGTTACATGAAGCTGTTTCTTAATTTATATTTATTTATGAATATACATGATTAACTATAGTTTATATATTATTTAACTAAATGTATTATTCTTACACGGGGGTGAAACCTATGAGCCATCTTTACACCCCAATTGCTTTCGATTCTTTTCTGAGAGCCATGGAAGGATAAGTGGCTTTAGATTCAAGTTGGAATTAAAAGTTAGGCCATAGAAGTCTAACAGCTTTGCAAATGTGAACTTCGGTCCTGTATTTCAGAAACACACAGAGAAACCCCAGCCTATTACTATCACAATGCTCAGTGCCACTTCCTCTGAACCCAAGGCCTGGAGTAATTTGGTAAAGCTTTATGGATGCTCAAGGTTAGGAAAATATGAGACTTTCCTTCCCCTCCCCCATCTCCATATGCCAGATATCGATTTTTTCCCTCTTCTTGCATTTGGAACAGTTGTCCAGCAAGAGAAAGGAAAAAGCCAATTTCTTACAAAGCTGCAATTCAGCCAAGAAAGCACTCACCAGTCAATACTTAATATCATAAAAATCCAGGAAAGAAAGCAACACATAGTCCACTCCCTTTTAAGACTTCAAACTGATAATTCTGTGTTTGGCAGAAGGTAGGTACATAATATGCGCTTACTGGATTTTTTTTCTATTTTCTTTTTTTTTTTTGAGACAGAGTTTTGCTCTGTCACCCAGGCTGGAATGCAATGGTGCAATTGATCTTGGCTCACTGCAACCTCCCCCTCCTGGGTTCAAGCGATTCTCCCGCCTCAGCCTCCCAAGTAGTTGGGATTACAGGTGCCCACCACCACACCCAGCTAATTTTTGTATATTTAGTAGAGACAGGGTTTCACCACCTTGACCAAGCTGGTCTTGAACTCCTGACCTCAGATAATCCACCCGACTTGGCCTCCCAAAGTGCTGCAATTAGAAGCGGGAGCTACCACGCCTAACCTCTATTTTCACAGAGTACAAAACAAGAGACTCTAGACATCTTTTGAACTCTGTCCTAGATCACGTGAAGCCACAGCTGTAGAAGTTAAAAACCTTCCTTTGGAAATCTGGAAACCTGAGAGAATGTTTAAGTACTCTTCTTTATTAATCATATGACTATTAGAGATGTCTGAAGTAAAGAACTATGACAAAAAAAAAAACAAATCAGGGACAGAAAGTACCACCTGCACAAATGCACTGTTATCTCACAAAGAGTGGTAAAACTGGCCAAGCACCGTGGCTCACGCCTGTAATCTCAGCACTTTGGCAGGACGAGGTGAGTGGATCACGAGGTCAAGAGATCGAGACCATACTGACCAACATGGTGAAACCCTGTCTCTACTAAAAATACAAAAATTAGCTGGGCGTTGTGGCACACGCCAGTCGTCCCAGCTACTTGTGAGGCTGAGGCAGAATTGCTTGAACCCGGGAGGCGGAGGTTGCAGTGAGCCGAGATTGTAACACTGCATTCCAGCCTGGTGCCTGGCGATGAAGCGAGACCCTGTCTCAAAAAATAAAAATAAAAAATCAACTAAAAATACAAAATCAGCCAGGCATGGTGCCGGGTGCCTGTAATCCCAGCTACTCAGGAGGCTGACACAGGAGAATGACTTGAAACAGAAAGGCGGAGGTTGCAGTGAGCCGAGATCGCCCACTGCACTCCAGCCAGGTGACAGAGGGAGACTCTGTCTCAAAAAATAAACGAACAGTGGTAGAACAAAAAACTATGGGCAACATCATTCTTCTGATGGTGGGAGTAATTATACAAGCATCTATGACAGTACTTGGCTTCTCTAGAAGAAATCTCAACTGTATCAAACCACTTTGAGAAATATATATACATATATTTCTTTCTTTTTTTTTTTTAAAGACGGGGTTTCACCATATTGGTCAGGCTGGTCTCGAACTCCTGACCTCAGGTGATCCGCCCGCCTCAGCCTCCCAAAGTGCTGGGATTACAGGTGTGAGCCACCGCGCCCGGTGAGAAATATATATATATTTTGACAGGGAGTTTTGCTCTTTCACTCAAGCTGGAGTGCAGTGGGCGATCTCGGCTCACTGCAACTTCTGCCTTCTGGTTTCAAGCGATTCTCCTGGCTCAGCCTCCCAAGTAGATGGGATTACAGGGGCCCGCCACCACGCCCAGATAATTTTTGTATTTTTAGTAGAGACTGGGTTTCACCATGTTAGACAGGTTGGTCTTAAACTCCTGATCTTGTGATTTGCTCACCTAGGCCTCCCAAAGTGCTGGGATTACAAGTGTAAGCCACCCACTCCCGGCCAAGAAATATATTTTCATACTTTTTTAAAAATCCTTTTTGTGGGCCAGGCATGGTGGCTTATGCCTGTAATCCTAGCACTTTGGGAGGCCGAGGCGGGTGGATCACCTGAGGTCAGGAGTTCAAGAACAGCCTGACCAACTTGGTGAAACCCCGTCTCTATTTAAAAAAAAAAAAAAAATCATAATAAAAAAATATAATAAAATCCTTTTTGTGGCAAACGGGGTCTGGCTGTTGTCCAGGCAGGTCTCGAACTCCTGGGCTCAAGCTTTCCTCCTAGCCTCGTCTGCCTCCCTAGCAGCTGGGATTATAGGCGTGAACCGCAGCCCCTGGCTATTTTCCTATGTTTCATCTGTTTCAAGCTCAGAGTGTGGAGTACATTAGCCTAATCCAATGACTTTATCCCACTGGCATAGAATAAAAGTTTTTTACAAAGTCAAAAGAAGAAATCCTGGAACTATGGGGATCTTTGAAAGTATTAGATATTAAAGAACAAAAATAGCCAAAGAGCCGTGAGCAGTGGCTGGTGCCTGTAATCCCAACTCTTAAGGAGGCTCAAGCGGGAGGGCTGCTTAAAGCCAGGAGTTCAAGACCACCCTGCGCAACGTGGCGAGACCCAGGTCTACTCGAGCTTCTGGGGGGCTGCGGCAGAAGGATCCCCTGAACCCAGGAGGCTGAGGCCGCCGCACACAGAGCAAGACCCTGTCTCAAAAAAAAAAAAAAACCCAGAATTTAGTGCCGTTCCTAGAGACAGGGACGTAGGCAACAGCAACCAAAAACCGCAAGGCGATGGACGCCCGCAGCCCATTCCGAGTCCGCAAACACCACCGCCCGTTTGCAAATGCGCCCGAGACTCAACAACGGCCACGAGCGTCAGGCTGTCCAGCAGGGTGAGGGGCGCAGGGCGGCCAGCGGGGTGAGGGGCACAGGGCGGTCAGCGGGGTGAGGGGCACAGGCTGTCCAGCGGGGTGAGGGGCGCAGGGCGGCCAGCGGGGTGAGGGGCGCAGGGCGGTCAGCGGGGTGAGGGGCACAGGGCTGTCCAGCGGGGTGAGGGGCACAGGGCTGTCCAGCGGGGTGAGGGGCGCAGGGCGGCCAGCGGGGTGAGGGGCGCAGGCTGTCCAGCGGGGTGAGGGGCGCAGGCTGTCCAGCGGGGTGAGGGGCACAGGGCGGCCAGCGGGGTGAGGGGCACAGGCTGTCCAGCGGGGTGAGGGGCACAGGGCGGTCAGCGGGGTGAGGGGCACAGGGCTGTCCAGCGGGGTGAGGGGCACAGGGCTGTCCAGCGGGGTGAGGGGCACAGGGCGGCCAGCGGGGTGGGGGGCTGGCGTCACCGCGGGCCACCGAGGGCGGGAAGACCTCACAGAGACCAGGAGCGGCCCGGAGGGCGGCAGGCGGCGGCGGTACGAGGAGCGGCTGCGTCCGGGATGAAGACCCCCAGCGGCCGCCCGCCCGAAGCCCCTGCACGAGGAGGAGGCTGGGACTCCCAAGGGCTAGCGGGGACCGCAAACCCCGACCCCGCGGCGCCCCTGCCTCCCGGAGAGGGCGCGGCCTGCCCTGCGCGCCTCAGCCCCGGGCGCTGGCGTCTCCGGCCGCACGGCCGAGCCTCTCCTGAAGGGAAGGGGTGGTCGGCTTTGCATCACCGCCCTTCCCCTGACCGCTCCCTCAAGAACGCCCCGGGACATCTCGCCAGTGGCTCGGCTTTCCCCGCCTCGCGCTGCCCTCTCCTCAGGGCCGGGCAGGAGGCTCCAGAGCGCCCACAGCCCCGGGGTGCGGCCCGGCAGACAGCCGTCGTTATCTCAGACGCCCACCCGTGCTGGGAGGGTCAGGGGTACAACCAGGCGCATGCGCACAGCGAGCGGTTTTTTTTTGTTCTCCCTTCCCTCCCCACCGCTTGTCGCGCGCGTGCACGCGCACGCGTACACTCCTGTACCGCCGCCGACGCTGCGCGCCGATATCTAGTTCCGCCACGCCCATCATGGCGGCGGCCCCGGCCGTCTTTGGCCCCGCCCCTCAGTGACGCGCCGCGAGTCACCTGACCAGGCTGCGGGCTGAGGAGACACAAGGGAAGTCGCTATCGCCAGAGTCGGATCCGCCGCCGCCGCCGCCGCCGCCCTGAGAAGCTGCCGGGCCCTCGCGTCGTTGCCGCCGCCGCCCAGATCCCCGCACCATGCCGTCGGAGAAGACCTTCAAGCAGCGCCGCACCTTCGGTGAGTGTCGCCGCGAGGGTGGCGGGGGTGGCGCGGCCGGGGTCCAAGTCGTGGAGGGCGGCAGGGCCTGGGACGCTCTGAGGGGCCGGGGTCGAGCGAGGCCGGGGGCTGCCGGCCGGCGAGGCCGGGGGACGCGGAGCCCGAGGCGCCGTGAGGGGCCGGGACCGTGGCCGAGAATCCAGGGAGCTGTGAGGGGCCCGGGGCACGGGGTCGGTCGCGGGGCCGGGGCGGCCGGAGGACCCCTCGGAGGCCCGGGAGGAGACAGCCCCTGGGGGGCGGGCGGGGGCCGGGGCTCCCGGGCCTGCTGAATCACCCCGCGTCCCCGGTGGCGGGGACCGTGCGGCACCCCGGCCCCGTCGCCCCCTCGAGCTCGCCGCCCGGCGAGGGTCGCGCTTCTGGGGCCCGCGGGTCCCCGGGCCGCGCCGGGCAGGTCGGCTCCGAAGCAGGTCCGCGCCGGGTCCCAGCGCGTCGCCTTCGGGGCGCGTTTTTCTGGCGAGGAAGCCCGCCCAGGTGCGAGTGTTTCCCGCAGGCGCGGGTGCCGCGGTCGGGAGGAGGGGAACGGCCCGCGGCCGTGTTGACAGTCCTGCCTGCGGCCCGGAGCCGGGTGGTTCGCTTCTCCCGGGCTTGCGACCACGCTCTCACCTCGACACCGGAATACCGGGAACACGGCCCTGTCCGCCGGTTCTGACCGCAAACCCAGCTTAGGTGTCCCGGCTTCGGGTAAACGTGCATGTGTCCCCATCGCAATATTTGCTCCACGCAGATGATGCGAAGCGGTTATTTCCCAGCTCGATCAAGAGAACGCAGAGATCCAGATACCTGTTTTTGCCTAAGTTCCAGGCACAGGTATGGTAGGGCAGCACCGTGTTCATCCCAGTGAACAGTGAACGCCTGCCGCCATCCTCAGGAACTCACACAGTGATGCCGTGTGTCTGTTTTGCCTAGTTTCCCGGAGACTAGAAAGAGCTTAGCATTAATTTGAGTTTGGATATAGTTTTGTAGGTCTCATTATTGCCCATTATTTGATTTCTTATGCCTGAGATACTTCAGGAAATGAAAATGGACATTGGCTTGCCAAGCATATCTTGTCAAAAAGCCTCTTGGTCCGTTGGTTAGCAAGACTTAGACGGGCCTTTTTTGTTAGAAGTTTTCTTGTTAGTGACCTTAATAAACTCTCACTACCATCTAGGCTTATTGAGCCCTGAAAGTAGCATTTATAAAAGGCAGATTTTCTTTTTCTTTATTTCCTTTCCTTTCTTTCTCTTTTTTTTTTTTAAGACGGGGTTTCACCATGTTGGTCAGGCTGGTCTTGAACTTTCGACCTCAGGTGATCCGCCTGCCTTGGCCTCCAAAATGCTTGGATTACAGGCGTGAGCCACCACACCCAGACTCTTTCTCTTTCTTTTCTTTCTTTCCTTGCTTGCTTGACAGGGTCTCACTTTGTCACCTGGTCTGGAGTGCAGTGGTGCAATCACAGCTCGCTGCAGCCTGGACCACCGGGCTCCAGCGATCCATCGGCCCACCTCCTATCTGGCTTCTGTTTTCACCAGTGAAAAGTTAACTGGGAACATTTGTGTAGGAAAGATACCCTTTTTCTCGTCACAGAAACTACTTATTTTCTTTTTTGCTTATAGGACTTTTGGGTTATTCTGGAAAAATCTCTTCGGAAGAGTAGGTAGTAAGGGTAGGAAAGGTGACATTAACACATCTAAACAAGGAGTTGCTTAGAACCTAAAAGCCGCCCTGAGGGTAGACCAGGAATAAGGCCCCATTTTTTTCCCATTGGTGTACGTACTTCACAAACACTGTATTTTCAGGGGTTTTCCCTTGGCTCACTTTTATTTTGCCCCCTCCCCTTTAAATATCTATTTAATAGTCATTTTATAGAAATGTGCCAGATATCGTCTAATAGCTGTTACCTTTTCTTGCTTCTGATTTTGGTTATTAAAAAAAAAAAATCTTTCTAGTTCATGAATATTTTGGTAATTTTGACCATGAGCACTGACAATTTTCAGAGATGTATAGCACAGTATATGAGGGAAATGAATCCTTGGAGAGAAACTCTTTATGGAGCCTGAGATTAGCCCCAGTTAGCTTGAATGGGGCTTTCTTTTTCCAAGTGAGTGAGTTTAAGGTTAAAACTGAATATAGCCCTACTGATAATGTCTACTAGGATTGAGAGAGTTTTCAAAGTTGAAATGGATTTTAAGGCCCACTGAAAACATCCCCTTCCTTTTGTAGCTGAAGAAACTGGGTGGGGCCTGGCAGTGATGATCATGGTCCACCTAGTGGCAGTGTCTGGACTGGTACCTTTAACCTGGCATGAATTCTCCAGTAGGTAGCCATGGTTTCCAGCATATTAAGTGGACCCAGACTGTAAGTCAGGAGACATAGATGTACTGTAAAAATGTAAAGAACTTCAAAACACTAAAATTGAGTGGGGAGTAGTGGCTCACACCTGTAATCCCAGCACTTTGAGAGGCCAAGGCAGGATCGCTTGAGTTCAGGAGTTCAAGTCCAGCCTGGGCAACATAGTGAGACCTCGTTTCTAGCAAAAAAAAAAAAAAGAAAGAAAAAAAAAAGAAAGAAAACACACAGAAAAAATCAAGTTCTTGCTGTGTTGCCCAGGCTGGTCTTGAACTCCTGGCCTCAAGTGATCCCCCATCTTGGTTTCCCAACTGCTGGGATTACAGGTGTGACCCCACCACGCCTGGCCTGAGGGGAGGAAATGCTTCAATTTCTCTCTGAGAAGTAAATCCTGGAAAGTATGTGCAACCGAAATTTTACTTAAATGAGGATATCAGAAAATAACCTTGCAAATAACATGTTCATAAAAATGAGACAACTTAGGCTCCTACCCTTTTAATGTTTGTAAAATATTCTAAGGATTATTTTTCAGTTTTGTTTTAGAAGAAAGGAATCTGGGGAAGTAGACTGGATTTTGGTGTGCATTTGGAGCCGTGTTCATTTCTGTTTTACAGCTTTCATTCAGTTGTTGATTAATCATCATCTGTGAACAAGCCTGAACCAGGGGAGGGGGGAACACAGATTGGACTGGAGCTGGGTTCTTCACTGCCAAGGGGGCAGTCTGTTGAGGAAGACAAAAACAGATCATTACAGCAGTAGGAAGCTAAGGGAGTAAGATACTTGCTGTCCTATGCCATTGATTGTGACGTTGAGAATGCTTTTGTTAAATATACACTTCGCCTCCAAAACAGCTGTCTACTGAAGAATGAGAATGGAGCAGCAGTGTGTACCATGTACACCCCGTTACTCCAGGCTCAGCACTAGATTTTCATTGCCTCTGGACAGGATGCTAAAATACTCCTATGGGACTTTGGTGCTATTCTTTACACCTTAAGGAAGTAACTTGTCTTCTATATATTTCCCACCTTTAATGAAAATAATCATTTTTGTGTTTTTAGGTCATATTTTGGGAATAAATCGGGATAAAGATAACTTTTTAAACACCTGACTTTGAAACTTCATAGAGCCTTTCTGTTTTTTCTTTCCTTTTTTTTTTTTTTTTTTTTTGAGACAGAGTCTCAATGCTGTCACACAGGCTAGAGTACAGTGGCATGATCTTGTATCGCTGCAAACTCCACCTCCTGGGTTCAAGTGATTCTCCTGCCTTGGCCTCCTGAGTAGCTGGGATTACAAGCACCCACCACCATGCCCTGCTATTTTTTGTATTTTTAGTAGAGACAGGGTTTCACCATGGTGGCCAGGCTGGTTTTAAACTCCTGACCACAAGTGATCTGCCTACATCAGCCTCCCAAAGTGCTGGGATTACAGGCATGAGCCACGGCACATGGCCAGACTTATTTTCTTATATTAAAAAAAATCTTTCCCCTCCAGCTGAATGTTTCCACTACTTTTAGATTTATTAAGATAAGCTTTTAAATGTGAAACATTCCAGGATATATGAAAGAGGTATCATTTATTTGCTGGAGTGCATTAAATCATGATTTATCCTATACACTGAAATAATCTACACCGAGAAAATGGAGGTTTTTATTGTGAGGAGAGTCTGGAGTAGGAAAAGAATAGGAAGAAGTCTTATAGGAGAGGTGATGATTTGGGGTCAGTGAGACCCTTGCTGGAAAGTAGGGAAGTCAAACAATAAGAGCCACTAGGTTAATTTTACTATTAACAGTAGCTAAATTTATCATTGTTTGCATATTTATTCAATAGGAATATGCACTGGTGGAAGTCCATGAGTTTTCAATCTTTGTGGCAAAGATGTTTAGATTTAGTAATGTATCTTAGAAGCAGATTTAAAAATTTTGGGTGGGAAAAGAAGTCGAACTTAAAGCTTTACTTGAACACAGGAATTTAAAAAGTTTTTATAGTGAGTAATATTAAATTTTTAAAAATCTAAATGAGATTGGCAATGATTAGTGTAACCATGTTTATATATGGCACACCATCTTTTTTCTGGAGCCACTGTCTCAGGAAGTTCATGACATTGATAATTTATTTACCTTTACCACGAGAATGAATTCTACCATAGTAAATTAAGATGATTTTTGCGGTCGGGCGCGGTGGCTCACGCCTGTAATCCTAGCACTTCCGGAGGCCGAGGCGGGTGGATCACGAGGTCAAGAGATCGAGACCATCCTGGTCAACGTGGTGAAACTCCCTCTCTACTAAAAATACAAAACATTAGCTGGGCGTGGTGGCGCATGCCTGTAATCCCAGCTACTCAGGAGGCTGAGGCAGGAGAATTGCCTGAACCAGGAGGCGGAGGTTGTGGTGAGCCGAGATCGCACCATTGCACTCCAGCCTGGGTAACAAGAGCGAAACTCCATCTCAAAAAAAAAAAAAAAAAAAGATTTTTGCTCATTTTTTTGGAGGTTTTAAATAATGCCATCTGAATCATATGTTCATATATTGCCTTTTTTTTTTTTTTTCTTCTTTTTTGAGACGGAGTTTCACTCTTTTTTTTTTTTTTTTTTTTTTTTTTGAGACGGAGTTCCGCTCTTGTTACCCAGGCTGGAGTGCAATGGCGCGATCTCGGCTCACCGCAACCTCCGCCTCCTGGGTTCAGGCAATTCTCCTGCCTCAGCCTCCTGAGTAGCTGGGATTACAGGCACGCGCCACCATGTCCAGCTAATTTTTTGTATTTTTAGTAGAGACGGGGTTTCACCATGTTGACCAGGATGGTCTCGATCTCTCGACCTCGTGATCCACCCGCCTCGGCCTCCCAAAGTGCTGGGATTACAGGCTTGAGCCACCGAGCCCAGCCGCCTTTTTTTTTTTTTTTTTGAGACGGAGTTTCACTATTGTTGCCCAGGCTGGAGTACAGTGGTGTGATCTCAGCTTACCGCAACCTCTGCCTCTTAGGTTCAAGCCATTCTCCTACCTCAGCCTCCCAAATAGCTGGGATTACAGGCATCTGCTACCATACTCGGCTAATTTTTTGTATTTTTAGTAGAGACAGGGTTTTTCTCTTTTGGTCAGGCTGGCCTCGAACTCCTGACCTCAGGTGATCCACCCGCCTCGGCCTCCCAAGTCCTGGGATTACAGGCAGGCATGTGCCATTGTACCCAGCTTAATTTTTGTTTTTTTTTTTTGTTTTTTTTTTTTAGTAGAGATGCGGTTTCACCGTGTTGGCCAGGCTGGTCTTGAACTCCTGACTCTGCCCACCTCAGCCTCCCAAAGTGCTGGGATTACAGATGTGAGCCATTGAGCCCAGCCTCATATTCCATTCTCTTGAGCAGTTTCTTTTCTCTTAGGCCCATATTAAAAAGCTGGAAGTTATAATTGCATTTCCTGGTTTGTAATGGATATAATAGATTCCATTTCCAACTTAAACTATGGAAAATTAACACAAGTTGAAGTGACTATTACAGGTGGTATTGGTCTTTGGAGGTAGGATTGGGAATCTTACCCATGAATCGGCCTTGTATGACTGCAAACTTGGGCTCCCAGGTCCTTTAAACTAGTCCCATATTCCTGGTCTCTGTCCTATCACCTGATAGAGCTGTGTTTGTTGTGTTGCCTTTGGCCTTAGATACAATCCTTAATCAGATGTGAAGTGTTTGTGTTTAAGTTCTAGGAAAGGTGCCTTCACTTGTTCTGCTATGCCACAGCTAAGGATAGCTGAACTCGGATGTAAGGCCAGCAGTAGCCCTGGTAAGAAGCTGTCTGGCCCTTAATAATTAATGGCTTCTATCTCTCCCTTTCATTGCAGAACAAAGAGTAGAAGATGTCCGACTTATTCGAGAGCAGCATCCAACCAAAATCCCGGTAGGTACTCAGACCTTGGTTTTAGTCAAGAATGTACGCAGAGGAGAACACTGCATAAGTACATCCGCCTGACAGGGGTTTCTACAGGAATCACCAGACAGTCAAACTCAGGGTGTGAGTTTCACAACCTAGAGGGAGGAGGTATCCTTGTTTTTTGTTTTTTTTTTTTTTTGAGACAGAGTTTTGCTCTTGTTACCCAGGCTGGAGTGCAATGGCGCAATCTCGGCTCACCACAACCTCCGCCTCCTGGGTTCAGGCAATTCTCCTTCTTCAGCTTCCTGAGTAGCTGAGATTACAGGCACGCGCCACCATGCACAGCTGATTTTTTTTTTTTCTTTTTTTTTTTTTTTTTAGTAGAGACAGAGTTTCACCATGTTAACCAGGATGGTCTCGATCTCTTGACCTCGTGATCCACCCGCCTCGGCCTCCCAAAGTGCTGGGATTACAGGCTTGAGCCACCGCGCCCGGCGAGGTATCCTTGTTTTAAGAGACAGGGCCTTGCTCTGTTTCCCAGGCTGGAGTACAGTGGTCAGATCATAGCTCACTGCAGTCTCAGCCACCTTGTACTCAAGCAGTCCTCCTTCCTCAGCCCCTTAAGTAGCTGGGACTAGAGGCGCAGGTCACCACAGATGGCTAATTTTTTTTGTAGAGACAGGGTCTTGCTGTGTTACTCAGGCTGATCTCAAACTCCTGGGCTCAAGTGATCCTCCACCTTGATCTCTCAGAGTGTTGGGATTATAGGCATGAGCCACTGTCTGGCCTCAGGATCCAAGATTGCCATACAGCCTCTAATTGCTGCTACCACTTAAACTCAAGTAGGTGGAGTCTACACACTGATATTTCCTTGTGGATATCATGCGTCTGAACATGCCCACTAGATAAAGCTCTCAAACTTACCAGGGAAGGTGATGACAGCTTGATTCAGCCTTACACAGAACCTTATGTAGGTCTCACACAATGGAACAATGTACACATTTTTGTTTCCCAAAGAAGCATGTAAAGATTTCTCATTCCTGGCATTCAACTTCTCTTTGTTGTGACAGGGTAGAAGAATTACTGCATATAAAGGTGTCTGCAGCACTCAGTAAACACAGAAGCTAATGAGACTCAAAGGCCCATCTGTGGTCAGATACTACTGCAGCTTAGAACTGAAAAAACAAAAAATTTTGCTCCATGGAAAGGAAGTATGGTGAGGAGCTAATGGATTTATTTAAATTCATAATATGGAACTATTTTTGTTCCCTGTATAGTTCAAATACTTGTATTTTTAACCTGATTTAAAGAAATATTGTATCAAAATGAAAGTACCAGGTCATTAAGCACAAAGTTTGTCCCTAGAACCAGCTAATAATGGTCTCTGCTTGCCTTGTCAAATACTTAAAATTTTTCTCATGTCAAGTAGACAGGTCTCAAGTATGGAAAAACATTGAGCCATATTACCATAATTAACAACTTACACATTTATTAAAACACAGGCATTTACTTTCATTAGAACTTCAGCCACATCTCAGGAAATGGTAGTATTAGAATTGACGGAGTTTCAGATGTTTTGTGCCTGAAGCTAGCCCCCAGCCTCTCTGCCTCTGTAAGGCTTGAGGTCTTTTTCTGCCTAGGTATATATTTTTCATGGTTCCAAAATCAAACACAATGAAAGGACACATAGCAAAGTATCTTCCCCCTCTTCATACCTGGTGGCAGCCATATCATCTCTCTTCCATATTTTGTAAATGGTAAATGTCTAAGCTAGGAATTGGTTGCTCTTCACAGGTGAGCTTTGAGGAAACTAATGAATGCTGTTTTAAAGCCCATTTTGGACTGGGCTTGGTGGCTCATGCCTGTAATCCTGCACTTTGGGATGCCGAGGTGGGTGGATCACAAGGTCAGGAGTTCAAGACCAGCTTGACCAATGTGGTGAAACCCCCACTCTACGAGAAAAACAAAAATTAGCTGGGCATGGTGGCACATACCTGTAGTTCCAGCTACTCAGGAGGTTGAGGCAGGAGAATCACTTGAATCCGGAAGGCCAAGGTGGCAGTGAGCCAAGATCACGCCACTGCACTCCACCCTGGGCAATAGAGCGAGACTTCATCTCCAAAAAAAAAAAAAAAAAGCCCATTTTGGCATGTGCCGGTTAGAATATAGGAGGCAGTTTATCTGTATTTTTCATTGTTGATGACTATTTTATTATTTGAAGACAGTCTCATTCTATCCCCCAGGCTGGAGTGCAGTGGTGCGATCTCCCAAGTTCAAGCGGTTCTCCTGTCTTAGCATCTGGAGTAGCTAGAATTACAGGCAGCTGCTGCCACACCTGGCTAATTTTTGTATTTTTAGTAGACACAGGGTTTCACCATGTTGACCAGGCTGGTCTCAAACTCCTGACCTCAGGTCGTCTGTTCGCCTCACTCAGCCTCTCAAAGTGCTGGGATTACAGACGTGTGCCACTGCACCTGGCCTGATGACTATTTTAAAATTCACTTCTGGCTTCTTTTCTAGGTGATAATAGAACGATACAAGGGTGAGAAGCAGCTTCCTGTCCTGGATAAAACGAAGTTCCTTGTACCTGACCATGTCAACATGAGTGAGCTCATCAAGATAATTAGGTATTCAGTCACCTTTGTTTTGTATTTCCTTTGAGTGACTTCTCATTCTTTTTTTTTTAATTTTAAATTTGCTAATCTTCTAAGTATCGTTCCAATTTTAGTATATGTACTGCTTTGGCAGCACTTCTCATTCTTTATGAAACTTACAGATAAATCTTTAGTTCTGGTTGAAATCCTTAAAAAAATCTTTTTTAGCCAAATTTAAGATTCAGTTCTGATTAAAACCATTTCAACTTAATAAAACTGTAAACTGTTTCTTTTTTTTAGATATATATATATTTATACATATATTTTATTTTATTTTATTTTGAGACAGAGTCATGCTGTCACCCAAGCTGGAGTGCAGGGGCATGATGTCAGCTCACTGCAACCTCCGCCTCCTGGGTTCAAGCGATTCTCCTGCCTCAGCTTCCCGAGTAGCTGGGACTATAGGCACATGCCACCATGCTCAGCTAATTTTTTGTATTTATAGTAGAGATAGGGTTTCACCACATTAGCCAGGAGGGTCTCAATCTCCTGACCTCGTGATCCACCCATCTTGGCCTCTCAAAGTGCTGGGATTACAGGCGTGAGCCACCGTGCCCAGCCTGAGGTTTTATATTTCTTACTTGCTAGACCTCAGATCCCTTGTGTTTCTTTCCTTGTAAGAAACAGAAGGGATCTGAGGTCTAGCAAGTAAGAAATATAAACATCTACATTGTAGTGTAGATGTTTCCTCTTTAAAATAAATGTTACAAGTTATTAAGGTTTTGTACAGCAAAGCTATTTAAAGAGAATGTAGACTTAGTGAGTAGCAATAAATGGCACAGGCTTAGATCTTAGAATAGTTTGGAAACTGTTTAGAACTGTTTTCTGACATTAGACATTTAACGTCTATTCAGACAGCATACTAGTTTAAAATTAGCCTAATGTATAATCTTTCAGTAATTATCACTCATACCGGTGTAATCAAAGGAAATGTCCTGTGCTTTTGTTAAGTATTGGATTCAAAAGCATTTAGAAAATTCTCATATTTTATTGATCAGAGTGGGTGATATTTTAACACATGCTTCATACTTCTTGTATTATCAGTATTTCTTCACCTTTTCTTTCAATAGAAGGCGCTTACAGCTCAATGCTAATCAAGCCTTCTTCCTGTTGGTGAATGGACACAGCATGGTGAGCGTCTCCACGCCAATCTCAGAGGTGTATGAGAGTGAGAAGGATGAAGATGGATTCCTGTACATGGTCTATGCCTCCCAGGAGACGTTTGGGATGAAATTGTCAGTGTAAAACCAGAAAAATGCATCTATTCTAGAATTTTTTTAAACCCTTACCAAGGAAAAAAAAGGGATATTATCAACTGAGATCGATCAGTTCGTCTAATCACAGATCATCAAACTGTAGTGTTTCCACCTAGGAGTGTTAGGAAGTTGTGTTTGTATTTGAAGCAGAAAAACTGAGCTCCAAGTGAGCAAGTTCAGCTTTGGAAACTATATTATTTAATGTAGGCTAGCTTGTTTTCAAATTTTAAAAGTTTAAAAATAAAATACTTTGCATTCTAAGTTGCCAATAAAATAGACCAAGTTATTTTAATGCTCTTTTCTCACTAATAGGAACTTGCAATTCAAGCAGTAATTGAAAGGCTTTCAGAGACCCTGAGTCTTCTCTTCAGATTCACAGAACCCACCGACTTTTTGGGTAAAAGTTTTCTACTCAGCTAGAGAGATCTCCCCAAGAGGATCTTTAGGCCCGAGTTGTGAAGCGTAACCCCCGCAAAACGCATTTGCCATACTAGTTGGCACAAACACAGGGTAAATGGGGTGCAAGAAAACAGCCCTGTCTGTCAACTGCTGCTCATGGTGCCTGACTCCTAACCGAACTATACACAAAGTCCACACTCTTGCAGGGGTAGACATTTCCTATTTGGTTTGTGCTCTAGTTAGTTACACACATAAAGACAGCTCAAAAGGAAATTTGAATTTAATTTTGGTCTAGTTTCTTAAAAGACCCTGGAGAAAGAGTGGCATTTCTTCTGTTTCAGGTTTTGTCTGACTTCAAACTAGTGCCCGTGTTGGTACGGAAAGAAGCAGTGCACCTGTGTCATTCTTCAGGACAGCGGTAGAAACCACAGAATAGGGTAACTAAAGGCATTCAGATTCACACACTCCCTTCTATCATCTGGCTTAAAGCTATGGATGATCCTTTTTTTTATTTTGTTTTTTTTTTTAATGTTAAATGTGTAACTCAATATTACTGAAAAGATTCCCACATTTTTAATAATAGTTCAGTTATCACTGTTAGGTCAAACAGCCATCAGAATTTTCCCACACTAAGTGCATGTCAGTTGTGGAGAAAACATAGCAAAAGGAGCCATATCCTTTTAAATGGTAATGTCAGAAGTTAAAGCTCTTCAGGTTCAACCTATGATAAAAGACCAGTGCTTCCCACTACCTGCATGGGGTTCAGTATTTATAGTTTTCTTGGGAGTATCACAGGAAGGTCACAGTTACACCACTTTAGACCGTCCATGTGGCAAGTCACAACTTAACCTTGTGTGTTTAGATGTGTATGGAAAACCTGTGTACGTTAGTGAAAGCCGTTTACTGCAGTGGGGAAACTAGATTCCTTCCATCTGGGCCCTCTACTGATGTTAAAGGAGTTCCTGTCACCTGCTTTCCCGCTGCATGCGTTTGTCCACTTGGCTACCTTTTAATATGTGTATTTTTACATTATGTAAATTCTTAACTGGCCTGTCTTGTTTAGACTGTATACATCATATCTGACATTATTGTAACTACTGTGTGATCACTAAGATTCCTATAAGAAATACTGCTTTTTTAAAAAAATAACATGCTGAGGGGAGACCTATATTCCACGAGTGAATGGTCACTTTATTTGTAGGATCTTTAAAACGTACATTTTTAATGAAGTAAGTTAAATAAAGGCACAATTAAAAACGGTCATTAAAGTTCAGTTTAATGGGATCAGTGTTTGAGACTTGGATCCCACACTGTTTGTACTTTCCAAAGCCAAGTGGGTCCTTGTATTCCCAAGAGGGGCATCCAGGCTAGTTGTGTCGTGCTGAGGGGGCACTCACGTGGAGGGACTCTGCCCTCTGATGGCCTCTGCCTTGTCAAGGTCGCCCTCCTCGCCTTGGCCAAGGCCCTGCCACCAGGTCCGGACTTTCGAAGTTCTCTTGGGAACTCACGTGCCACAGGATATGATCGATGTATGGCAAGACCCACATGATTTGTGGGAATAAATACCCAATAATCTGCTGTAAACTAACCACCAAAAGTATTAGGTGTATGTTGTCAAGAAAGTGTAACCTCGGGGGAACCAGTGGGGAGCTGCTGGCACCGTGTTCAGATGCAGCATAAACACACTTCAGCACTCAGACCAGTGGCCAGCCTCATCATCTAGGGAACTCTGAGCCCAGCTCCGGTTTAAGTAGGCACCTAAAAGTCTGTTGAAAAATACAAGGGAGTGAGCTGGTAAAACTGCCTTCCCAGGCCAGCCACTCAACAAAAGCACCTGTCCCTGCTTTGTCCTGACTTCAGAGCTCCCCACGGGTGCTGTCCCTACTCACTTCCCAGAGCATATGTTCAGTATGTTGCCACCTCCCCAATCCAGAAGGGTGTGGTCTTAGATGCCATGGGAGCATGATCCTGTAAGTTAGTCACAGGCTGGTGTGGCAGCTGGTGGCTTGCGTTGCTGTCAACCCCCTCTGCGGCAGGCCAGCTCCCTCCCTGGGAAAGAGCCACTTCAAGGTAGGGCCACATCCCTAGGTATCAGATTCATTCACGCCAACTTTGATTTTTATGGAAACTCGTGCTGGAACATCTTTAACCCCAAATGAGGAATTAACATCTTTGTAAATTCCAGGGACACTTAGAAAATACAAAACTTGGCTGGGCATGGTGGCTCATGCCTATAATCCCAGCACTCTGAGTGGCCAAGGTGGGTGGATCACCTGAGGTCAAGAGTTTGAGACTAGCCTGACCAACATGGAGAAACCCCGTCTCTACTAATAAACTCGCCGGGCATGGTGGTGCATGCCTGTAATCCAAGCTACTCAGGAGGCTGAGGCAGGAGAATCACTTGAACCTGGGAGGTAGAGATGGCGGTGAGCAGGGATCGTGCCACTGCACTCCAGCCTGGGCAACAAGAGCCAAACTATGTTGCCTCAAAAAAAGAGACAACTCTGTTGTCTCAAAAAAAGGAAAAAAACTTGGCACCTTGATAGAGAATGAATGGGTTTAAAATCAGTTATCTTTTTTATTTCTCTGAGAAGGTAGAAAGGATGGAATCCCTAGTTTGGAGATTCAGACTGATTTGAAAAGGTGTGTGCTTCATATTCTGAAACAAACAGCTAGTGAAATCAAACACAGAGCCTTTTTTAAAATTTTTATTTTCAGTACATTAAATTTACTCATAAAAACATTCTAAAAATGTACAATTTGTCCTTTTTAACAAAGTATAATAAAACATAAAAACCCCAAAAACAGAATACTTGACATTTACAATTCAAAATCAAATTAGCAGAATATTAAATATTTACAAAACTATATCTTTTAAAAATATTTATAAAGTTACATGCAATTTCGTAGAATTGACAAAAGAATGGCTCAAAAATGGGAGAATTTTCCTTCATTCCTAAAAAGAAAATATGTCCAATAGAAGCTGTGAAGATTGAGTACACAAGGTGTTCAGTTTCAGGACCAAAGCCTCTTTTTTTGTGCACGTAAGACTCATACATGTGATGAGGGCTTGTTACAAGACACATGAGGCCGTGGCTCATGGCCACAGCTCCCCCTCATTGGTGAACAGTGGAGCAATGTTGACCTTTGGCCTCAACCAGCACAGTATATGGTTTTCTAGAATATTGCCAAGTGTTGAGTGTTGATTAAAGATGCTTTCATTCAGACCCTTGGGACTTTTCAACAAATTAGCCTCTTCAGAACCCATGGCTTTCAGTGTCACCTGCATGCTGAAAATCATAGCCACCCCTGCTCAGTTCACACAGGACTCTCCTCTCGGACAGCAGTCGAGTCAAGCAGGGAGACGGCTTTCCTCACCATCTGAAGACCTCGGCATGCCGTACTATCAGTCAGATGTACAACGAGCAAGGCATAAAACAAAATGCTGGGAAGCAGGAGAGTGATGAGAAAATGACAGGGAGTGAGGAGGGTGCAACCCAGTTCCCACTGGCCAAGTACCTACAGTGAGGGGCAGCCCCACTCAGCCTGTGTCCAGCTGGGTGATGTTTAGGCAAAGTCACTACCGCCACCACTGTGCCCCAAGACAGTCTGTGGTAGAAACTAACTGTGCTGACTTTGGGCAATACAGGACCCAGAATTCTAAGTACTGAATTAAAAATATGGAACCGACTAACACTACTGTATTAACAAGCTGACTCCTGTAATCTTCTGGAGATGACAGATGATGCTGGTTTCTAAAATACCCAATCACATATATGCATTCGAGAAAATATCTTGTGTTTATTTTTATTACAAGTGCTAGCTCCCATTTCCTCAGTGCTCTTTAGCAATGAGTTTTTATGTTAAACACTTCCAACTGTCAATATTACCATGAAATAAATATTAGAAAATCAGGTAGAAAACTTGAGTGTTTTGCTTAAAAAATAAAACGTAGGATTAAATAGCTGTTGTATCCCAACATCACATTCTACTTCCATCTCTACATTCCACTTTCCCCATTCTTGGAGATTAAAAAAACAGGGTTAGAAACTTCAATATCTGACAGTCTGCAAAGGGCAAAGATGTGGCGCGTGGCCAGTGCCACACCTACCTGGTTGCCACAGCATTCTGATACAGATGACAATTTCAGGAAAATGACTAAGTACTTGAAAGGGTCAGTATGTTCTGTGTTTTCAGATGAGGAAGTATTCTGATGAATGCAACACGCTCTTCTCATGCGCCGACCTTGGTTGCTTTTGGAGAGATTCATCAGCACTCACTGCTGGCAAATACTCTCAAGTCCAAGCCTGCGACTCCCTCAGGGAGAGGCCTCACGGACTGGTGGTTCCATTTTCTCTGCACTATGTAGTTCCTATTTACATCTCACGAGTCTCGACTTCGGACAGCCTCCCCGGAGATGTCGCACTGCTGCCAGTGCACATTCAAAATGACTGGAAGCTCCGCAGAGACCTTCGCTGCCGGGAACGCAGCCGTGACTGTGTCGGGACTCGTTTACCTCAGCGCTGAATGCCAGGCTTCGAGTTGAAAACTTTCGGTTTTAATGCTTTGCTGTATTTAAGGTTAACCTCTAACACTTATCAGAATAGTTACAAGGGTAACAACAGACGCTTTCGTTCCCCTATACTGACCACTAAAACAAAAATGTAAATTTTTTTCCTTTTGTTATGAGACAGTTTTCAACAATTTCAGTGTTGAAATAGGATTTATTTAAAATATTTCTTTGTTTAAAAAACCAAAAAATTTAAAAGTTTGGCTTTCAGCACATATCCAGGCCACTGTAATGGCCTTCAGAAATATTAAAATCGTAAACATCAATGAACACTCTAAGTCTTCCTTTAACGTAATATGACAAGGTCCAGTCTAGTACTCTTTAAGGCAAAGTTGTGTCAGTTCTCATTATTTTGACATTTTGTAGTGTTTATAATTTAAGAGATCAACGTAACATTCCCCTAAATAGCTGATGTAATAAGCATCACCATTACTTCAACACTGTAATACTGTGTACCACGAGGAGAGAGAATACAGAGGTCTGTTAATTCTGCATTGCATAGAAATAAAATTCAACTAAAACTAAAAGCCTGTCATAAAAAAAGTAACATCTTTCTGCTTTAGTTTCTATGAAGTTAGGAACTGCTCTTACAATTCAACCCTCACGTCATGCCTCACTCTAGGGTATTCTTTTGATTTACATCAATTTTTCTTGAGGCTGATTGTCCCATTTTAAGAATGGTCTGAATACTGTCAATTTTTTAAAAAAATATTCAACTGCAAAATCCCTGGCACGATGTTACCAATCAGTATTTTAACACTGAAGACTTTTGCATTTTAGATCATAGTATTATTTTAGCAGAAAATTCCCTTTAACCTTGAAGATTTAAGTCTGTAAATTTCAGACAAAAGGTTTTCATTTCCGTGGGTTGAAACTGAGAGATCTACAGTGAGGACTTTTATTCCTACCTTACAAAAACCAGACTTGTACAGATCCCGTCGCTCTCGGGTGTGTGGCCGCTTCCAGAGTCCTACCACTTTCCACTGTTTTCCAAGTCATCTTTAACGGAATTAACTACCAATACACAGCCTAATACAAAAGAAGTTGACAGGAGAAAATTCCCAATCTTTTGCTGATAAGTGACAGGACTGTATCATTGTTGAAATGTCTGTCTCAGGTGTGAATCCGCTAGCGGTACGCCTCGGGGTTGGAGGCTCTTGGGGAGCCCGTGGGAGAGAAAGCAACTTGCAAACTCTGCTAAGGACATGCAGCATCCTCACAGCCACTCACAGAGCCGCGCTGTCACCGTGCCCCCGAAAGAGGTCATCTGCAGTGGAAGACAGGGCTCAGAGCCCCTGACCGGCTGGGAAGGAAGGTACTCTCAAAGCTTTGACGGCTATGGATTCTCTGGGACTTGGACCCTTAGAAATTAAGTTGTTGCGAGTAAACTATTTCTATTTAATAATGTAGTTTAAATTTATTTGCAGAAAAAATTAAAAACCTGAAACTGCTACAAGTGCTTGGAGGAGGGAAGGAATACTAAAATCTCTGTTGTGTCCTAAGTCCAGTAGCCTGCTGGTGCTGACTCTTTAATCTGGATTATTGGAGTCTCTTGCACTGACTGTTCTCAGAGGAGTTTGTCTCCCAGAACTGCAGAGATTTACATCAGGGTACATTCTTCTGTAGTGCAATCCTTAAAAATCCCAGAGATTAGTGCCTAATCACTTTAGGAACGAAACAAAACAAAGTCGAC